TGTTGTTATGTGCTGTTGAGTCAGACCTGACTCATAGTGACCCCTCCTTGGGTTTCTGAGGCAGTATCACTACAGAAGTAGATTGCCCAACCTTCCTTCCCAGGAGTGGCTGGTGGATTTGAACTGCCAGCCTTCTGGTTAGCAGTCAAGTCCCTTAGCCACTATGCTACCAGAGCTCCCCTGTAAAGATTACAGTCAAGAAAAGCCTATAGGGCAGTTCTGCTCTGTCACGCGGATTTGCCATGAGTCAGAATCAACTTGACAGCAATAACAATAACAAAGACACAAACAGTTTGGGTGGGGAGCCTCACAATGGGCATACTATCGGAAGTCTCAGTCCACCAGAAGCCATCCATCTCCCGTGGTAGGAATGCAGACCTTCCTTCCCTCCCTCCATCCTTCCATTAATCCAATTCCACTTTGTTCCAGAAAGGCTGTGTGTACTTTAGCTAAGTCTACAAACTGAACAGTTAATACATCTGTAGAATAGGATAATACTATTAGGTCAATATTGTTGACAGGACACTACTTAATATGAATGTTATTCACTGAGCATGATGCTTAGTCATTTCACATACTTTATCTGTGAAAATGCTTTGTAAACCATCAAGCACTATTCAGACAATTGTATTAAGGTATTATAAATTCTTGATTTGTCCTGATGAAAATTTATTATCTGAGAAGGTAGAGGAAGCTGAGGGGGAAAGTGGACTTAATTCTAAACAAAAAGAATTAGGGAGAAACCTGGGGAGGAAGTGTCAATATCCTATAGGAGTCTTATTTACAAATTATAACATAAATCAAAACAAAATACCCGAAATATTTCCTTGGGCAGATTTTGCTTTTCTTTCCATTTTTATTGTGACTCGGGTGAAAGTCTATAGAGCAAATTCATTTTCCATACAGCAGTTCATACACATTTCTTTTCATGACTGTTCTGGTTACCTAGTCCCGCTCTGACAGGAATATACCACAAATGGGATGGCTTGAATAAACAGTTTATCCTCTTACAGTTTGGAGGCTTTAAGTCTGAGTTCCAAGTGCCATGTTCTAGGGGCTGGGTGAAAGCCCCTCGACCTTGGGCTTCAGCTCTGCTTCTTGCTCCCAGCCCACTGAAGCTAGAGGCGTTTCTTCACTCAGCTGCTACTGCTGAGGCTAACAAGCCCAACATTGACAAGTAAAAAGGCACAGTCCCGATGTTACCAAACCACATTGCAGGCCGTTAATTCAAATCCATTGAAAGTCCCAAGGTTGGCACAGCATGGCAGGCTGCTGAACAACACGGCTACATGCAGGGTTCAAGTGTGCCATAAGCTGGAGACCATTCCCAAAGCTGTTTCTTAAATACGGGAAGCAGACCACATCCCTAAGGCAGCTACTCAGCTTCTTGTGGTAGATCCCACCATGGAGTTGATTTCCAGTGTCATCAGGGGGAATAACTACTACCAGTTGCCCAGCAAAGTTGACACACCAACTTAACTACTACCTTAATGACAATGACTGCAATTCCCCACACGTAACAGCTCTCTTCCCACTTCCTCCCCGTAGTTACGTCTTCCCTGTGTCCTTCCTTCCCATGCATTCCTGCCCCCTGAGCTACTTCCCTGTGCAAACACTGCCCTTCTGTTCTCCCATGATTCACTGCTCCAAGGAGTGTACCTACCTGATGTAAATGTACACCCCATATACCTGTCTGTTGTTTGGCTGGAAGCCACAAGAGTGAATTCAGTTCCAGATCCTCTTAGAGGCCTAGTCTCAGGGGTCTCACCAAGCTTCATGAGACCAGTAAACCCAGTCTTTTTTTTTTTTTAATGATTTTGGGTTTTGTTCTACTAGTCCCTTGGATTAATTGTTTCCATGTGTCTTTCGTTTTCTTCATTCTTCTTTGCTCTGGCTGAGGAGAGACCCATTGTTGCCATCTAGACAAGCTTTTAAGACCCTAGTCGCTACTTACCAAAGTAGAATGTGGAACAATGTTTTTGTGTAGTATATTATGCCAATTGAGCTTGATGTCCCTGAGACCACAGTCCCAAGGCCACAGGTCCAAGTACTTGCTCCCTTTGGGTAGCTGACTGTGGCCAAGAAACCACCACAACCTTGTCCCTTGTCAGCTCTACTATACACTCAAACATTCTTATGGCACATACAAATATGCCTATAGAAACATTGTCTGTCAATGCTATATGTGGTCATGGGCTCACTACCCCCTGCCCTGACAGATTTTTCTAGAATAAGTAATATTCCATATTTTCCCCCCTCAAACTTTCCAATTTCCTGGACCCTGACAGCCCTACATCTTAGATTGTGCTGTTGTTGTTATGTGCCGTCGAGTCGGACCCGACTCATAGCGACCCCTCCTTGGGTTTCTGAGGCAGTATCACTACGGAAGTAGATTGCCGCATCTTCCTTCCGAGGAGTGGCTGGTGGGTTTAAACTGCCAACCTTCTGGTTAGCAGTCAAGTGCCTTAAGCACTATGCTACCAGAGCTCCCAATAATGCTGAAATGTAATGGGTCTTTCAAAATTTCAGTATTTTATGTCATAATGCTTTTTTTTTTAAACAAATTAATAGTCTGAAGGAGTCATAAATGAGAATCTGAACCCACAATGCCCAAACATGTAAAAAAATCCAATTTAAATCTCTCTCAAGCATACATGCTTGCACACGTATGCATGCACGCACAATACATCCCCCCTCCATGTGTTTCTGCTGACTCTTTGAAGACTTAATTTCAACCTGGGTTGTACTGTTAAGACTCAGTCATGGAGCTTTGTCTCTGGAGGCTTATAATGAAAAGGATACACAGTGCTCATTACCATACCCATGGTGCCAAATTTTGAGGGGTGAACTGTTGAGACAAATTTTAATTACAAACCCACCTGTTTTGCTGTTTCAGTTAGGCCAGCAGCTTCTGCCTTGCCCAGTTGTTGCACCATCTTGTAAAATAGGCTCTCTTTATTTTGTAGCAAAATGTATGGCTCATCATATTCTTTCAGTCTTCCTGAGTCCAAAACCTGTTAATCGGCAGAAAGAAACCCATTAAAATACAATGTTTTGCAGTAACATATTATAACTCAGACAGTATTTCGGAAAGGGGCTGGAGAGGGAGAATAGAGAGAATCTATTTGGGTGGAAGGTCTGGATGGTGTTTAAATGGCTTGATTACCCTGTTTTACTGAGCAAACAAAGGCCTAGCCTGGCCTTTTATTATCATAATATTATAAGAAAAGAAGAAAATGAAAGTTGTTGACTATCATTATGGGCACTCAGCAATCCTGTGGCATATTATGTTCTGCCAAGAGCATCTTGGATTGCTATTATTAGTTAGCACTTTTAACTCTCAGATTCTGAACTCTGAGGGCTATTTATACACATATTCAAAGTTGGGAAATTTCTTGATTTAAGAAAATCAAACTCAATTTATTGAAAAGTAGAGTGATGTGATACAAACCAGATGACAGTGTCCTGATAGCAAATTAACTGCCAATTTAGTTTAACAGAATCTGAGCAATATTTGGAAAAGAAGTAAATGCTTCTGAAATTTCTTTGTTGTTAGGTTCCACTGAGTTGAGTAACCCCACATGACAGAGTAGAACTGCCCCATAGGCTTTTTTAGGCAGTAACCTTTAAGAGAGTAAATCACTAGGTCTTTTTTCCATGGAGCCTTTGGATGGGCTTGAACCACCAACTTCTGGGTTAGCAGCTGAACACTTAGTCATTGCACCACCAGGAGACCTAGTATATGTCAGCTGGTAGGAGGGGACACGTACACATAAGGTCATTAAGAGGTGGCGCCAACTTGATGGCAACTGATAGCAAGAAGCAGGGGACAAACCCTTGTCAGTGAGGTTAAGGTGTATCCTGAAGTTGGCTCTGGTTGTAGTTTACTACTCTGACAGTGGAAGGCTGGCTAAAAAGGCTGCTACCTAAGCAGCTTTAGCATAATCACTTTGTACAGAAGAAATCTCTAGAAATCCAATTTTCTATTTGGATAAGACTAAAGAAGCAATTAAGAAATGGAGTTCCAAATTCCAGTGAACAGGGCCCACACAGCACATGGGGGCAAAGGCAATCTGAATTGCTGAGGGTCTGAGTATCTGTTTTCCCAATTATCTTTCCTTGCTTCTTTTTTTCTCTTTCTTTAGCTGCCTGCCTTTTAGCCATTTTACTGCTCATTAATACATCTACTAGAAATTGAAAGGGAAAGGAAGGGACTTTAACTATGCATTTCTTCTTATCACTGGCTTTGCTTAATGGTTTCAAAGGGAAATGTCTGGAACAATTGGCCCAAATGACGTATCTAGGAAAACATTTCCAATGTTAAGTGGTACTTAGTTCTCCATTTAAACCATATTTAGAGTAAATTTATCTTAAGAGAATATGCTGAAATTCAAAGTGGGACACAAGTTGTTTTTCTCTCTCTAGGTATTGCAGTTAATTCTGTCCTGTGGTATTTAATCGGAAACATTTATTAAGTCTCATAAAGGACATTTTCCTGCTAATCCTCTGTTTACTACTGTGAATCACTGTTAAGGGCAGCTTCCTCAAAAGAGTTCAAGAATAATTGAATCTGTCACAGCCATATAATAATTAAAATGTCTTATAATTTGGCATGCCAATTTAGATGTCTTGAATGTGTAATTTTACATAAGCATAGCATTACAGAGTGTAACCACACCTCCTCATGATGACGAAGAACAACAGCAAAAAATATCTGTTTTTAAAATACAGGTCTCTTTCATGCTAGAGGCAAGGTAAATTAAAAAACCCACTGCCATTGAATTGATCCCGACTCATAGTGACCCCCATTGGGTTTCTGAGGTGGTAAATCTTTACGGAAATAGATTGCCCAGTCTTGCTTCTGCAGAGTGGCCGGTGGGTTTGAACCACCAACCTTCTGGTTAGCAGTCAGATGCCTCAGGCACTGTGCTATCAGAGCTCCTTAAGGTAAATAAATGAATCAAATTATAAAATGATAAACTTCTTATTCTGTAAAAGTAACACGTAAACTTTTAAAAATCACCCCTTGAGAGCTGGTGGAAAGTGAGTCCTTTGACTACATACCCATTGCCACTGAGTTGATTCCGACTTACAGAGACCCCCACTGGGTCTCCAAGGCTATAAAGAAGATTGCCTCATCCTCCTCCTGCAGAGCAGCTAGTGAGTTTGAACTGCTAACCTTCTGGTTAGCAGCCAAATGCTTTGTCCACTATGCCACCAGAGTTCCTTTGACTACACAGACTACCTAATTTTTAATGGAAAGAAAAGACTACTAATATTTTGTCCTGGTACAACTTTTCCACTTCATTTATTAAAAATTTGAGTTAATAAGAAATCTTCCTATTTTCGTTTGTTGACTTAAAACACATAAATGGCACTGAAATCAATAGTTTTCCAAAATGACCAGTACCTAAAAAGGCAGAGATGGGGAGGGAACCAAAAACTAATGACTCTCAAAAAGCAATAGGATTAACAATATGAACGACAGAAAGATCATTTTGGTTAAATTATTTTCAGTAACATAAATAAGTGTTAGCAATTTAATGACTGTCCACTGTATTTCATAAGAGAAGATTTCTGTTTTGGGGATAGAATTGTGATCAATTCTATCTTATTATGCTTGATAATTTATTACAACTTAACTAATTTTTATAACACTTCTAAAAACATAAAAACATAACATTTTAAATATTTTTCTTCTTTAATATTTTTTTGACATGTATTAAAAGAAAATACAGTGTCTTAAAATGAATGGTTTTATTTCCAAATGGATGAATTTACAAGGTTTGAGAGGTAGGTAGCATATAAATACAATTTAATGAAGAATAAAGCTAACATAAGATCAATGAAATCATGCCATAAGTAAAAGAGCAGCCTTCTGCATTTGGGAGGAAAATAAAAATTGGTATGCATTGAACATGCACTATGCCACATGCTTAGCACTTATCATTGTCAATTCTCAAAGTGGAATAGGCAAGCAAAGTAGAAAAATCCATCCATCCATCCATCCTTTCATCCAGCTACATCTCCTTCATCTACACATCCTTTCTTTTTTTTATCCTTTCATCTATTTTCCTTCCTTCATCCTTCCCTTTCTCTTTTTTTCCCCTTTAACCATCTAACTTTCTACTTATCCATCCTTTCATCCATCCAATAAGTGAGTGCTATGCCTAAGGCACTTGACTGCTCACCAGAAGGCTGGCGGTTCAAGCCCACCAGCCACTCCTCGGAAGGAAGGTTGGGCAATCCTACTTCCGTAGTGATACTGCCTCGGAAACCCAAGGAGGGGTCGCTATGAGTCGGGGCCGACTCGACGGCAAACAACAACAACAACATTACCAAAGCACCATTATAGGAATGGTAGATTCAAAGATGAAGAAGACACAGTCTGTCAAGAAGATCAAAGCTAGAGATGAAAAGTGAGGTTCAGATAATTTAAGCGAATTGGCCACAGCTGAAAAGAAGCCAGGAGAGCTGGGATTTGAACTCAGGTCTGAGCCTGTAAATCCTTTCTCTCTCTCTGAGTTTCCAAAACCATCATCAAATTACTTATTTTTTATTATTATACAAGGGATATGAGAATTTTACATTTAATCTTCTAAGATACCTTTCATTTGGGTAATAACATATTAACTTAGCATCATTTAAGAAAATATACCTGTAAACATTTTCCCTCTCTACTTTTTACTGTACTTTTATCATACCCAAGGCTCAAATGATCTACTGGGTGCCTGGTATACACTCACAGAAAAAGAAAAACCTCCAGGGTTAAGAAAGAACAAGTAAAACTTGGTCAAGACACTTTGGAGGAAAATATAATTATCATTCATTCCTGAATTTATTCAGCAAACATTTACGGTGAACTTACTGCATTCATGTCATTTTGCTAGCAGCTGTGAAAGGGGCAAAGATATGGAAGTCCAGCTCCTGCCTTTAGGAAGCCTATACTTAAAGAAGAGAAAGAATACTCAAGACCACAATACAAGACAAAAAAGGAAAATAACCAACAGTACACTGGCCGGAGGATCTGAGGAAGAGCTTCAGAAAGGAATGCTTAAAAGTGGGCTTTGAAGAATGGAGAGACTTGGATATGCAGAGATGGCTGGGGATGGCGGCAGTCATTCCAGACAAAAGGGAGCAACAGGAGCCAAGAAAGCTGGAGGGCCTGTAGCCTCTGTAAAAGCAGAGTTATGTCATTTATCTTGCTTACTGTTACACATGACAAGTTAACAGGTAACCAATACATATTACTTGAAAGTCTACTACAAAGGGAGCAAAATTCAGGGGATGATTGGGTGATTGTTTAATGGTATGTTAAGACAATATGGTATATGTTTTTTTTTTTTTTTTTTTTTTTTAAAGAGCATGTAGTGTAGTGCCCAAGGCACTTGACTGCTAACCAGAAGGCTGGCGGTTCAAACCCACCAGCCATTCCCCAGAAGGAAGGTTGGGCAATCTACTTTCCTAGTGATACTGCCTCAGAAACCCAAGGAGGGGTCACTATGGGTTGCATGTGACTCCAAGGCAATGGTTGCGTTTTTGCCTCAAGTGAGCAAGGGCACAAAGAGTCTTACTGGCATTAAGAAATACATAGAGGCAATCGAATATAGGGCTACAAAGGTGGGAGACCTTATGCCTCAGGTTGATGGCTACTGGCAAGAAACACATATGTTATGAGGAAATAACCAGTAATTCATTGCTGCCGAGTCCATTCCAACTCATGGTGATTCTACATGTATCAGAACACAACTACACAGGGCTTTCAGTGGCTGATTTTTCTGAAGTAATTCCTAGGCCTTTCTTCAAGGCCCCTCTGGATAAACTTGAACTTTCAACTTTTTGGTTAGAGCAGCCTAGCACTTAACCATGTGTACCACTCAGGGATGTCTAAGGGAATACAGGAAGAGGAAAAGAGTGCGGGAAAGAGTAGGGTTGAAGATAGAGGCTTGAGAAAAATTTATCTAGGAAGAGAAAAAAACAAATACACAAAAGGCACTATGAATCTTTTTGTACA